ATCAGTCACTTATTGGCATATGTGCATCCTTAATGATAAAACGAAAAACATGCAACATGCTTGTAGACTGATATTCTAATATTTGTGCATGACTGTACAAATTAGAAAATAATCTCACTGAGAAGAATTAATTTCTATTAATCCTTTTTTTAATTACTTTTAGTAAACACTCAGTTTCTTATCTGAAAATATCCATATGTTTAATAATTAGTGTTTAAAACGAAGGTAGAGATTAAATAAGTAAAGAGTGAAACATTCTATACATTTTATTCTAAAAGTTTAACGCAAGGAACTGTGAGGAAAAGCTTTATACTTGACTTTATTCAATCGGTAATGAATCTTCTGAATAATATTCAGTTCAAAGAATAAATGGGATACTATCTAAAGAATACCTGTGATGTCCAATGAATATAGACTATTGAAAGACTTTTATTCATGTTCTTCATACATTATACTGAATAATGTGATTTAATGTAGTAAAGTGTATGAACAAGATCCAGGCATATTGTTGATCTATAGTATCACGCTACTAAATAATATGTTTTACACATAAGTCAAAGAAAACATTTAATTTTGCTTGTTCATGTGATGCATAAATATAAGAAGCACTCAGGTAGCATAATTATCGCAGCGATCCAAAACTTAGTCTCAATTAGTTTATGTGCAAATGGATTGTCATAACGTAATGATGGAATTGTGCATAAAACGACTTGTAACTCACTCATCTAGGTTGATTATCAATATTTTGAATCTAATTAATAAACCGCGCTATGAACAAACCAGAACGAACTAGCAAATGTTTATGTTGTATCCTAGCGAAGATTAAATTACAAGTAACTACTGAGATCTATTAATGAACTAATATTATTTATATATTCTTATGGTATAATTATTCAGTAACTAGGTTGTGTAAATTTATATACATCTTATTATCAGCTTCATTTTGACCTACAGATCATTATTATACGATTTACTGTTCTTAAATTATACTCAGTTTGTTAATTACTGTCTCCCAGGTTCACAGCCACTTTTTGGCTTTATTGTGCATGAGTGTTATTTCCTATTTTATGGTGTGGTGCAGTCTGTTTTATTGTTATATGAACCCAGCATGTCTGAAATAAATGATTCGCATAATGGAAGCTATTATTGGTGTTATGAACTCAACTCGACAGCCTAGGCGAGCAAGGGACTAATAAGACGGTAGGCTGGTCATACCGGTTGAACTTCATTGGTTTAGTACAGTACAAAAGTGAATAAGTCGTATTTTGATTGGCGAATAAATTACTTGATAACTAGTCGGGCGTAAAGTCATAACAATTTATACGGAACTAAATAGTAAAGTTCAATGCCTAATGAAAGATATTTTACAGATGTTAAGTTAATAATAGCAATCAACGAAAATCCCAGGGACAGTAGGTTAACTGATTAAAGTTTCTATCGGTTATCAATGATTTTTAATTAAAACTTCTCACTTGAACTTCAGTCATCACTGATATTAAGAAAATTTAATTAAATCCGAAAATTCTTAATTCATTTACGTAAAAATATGACTGAATTCAGTTAATCATATTAGCGACTTAGCAATTCATAACTTCTTATTTATCTATTTATTTATTTGAACACATAAATATTCGTACAAAGTGGCACCGAATACATATGTGCCACACAAGTCACTTGATTTGTATATGGGCTATGATACTATTCGGGTGCCCAAAATGAAGCAGATAACTTCTAATTATCTTCAAATCATATTCTTATTCATGTGTTTTTCCAGTTACATTCTGAAATTTACTCAATGCAAATGAAATACATTTTTGAGTATAGGGGTTGTTGAGATTATTAATTTCTTTGATTGAGATCATGAACCAATTGATGTTAGACCACCGTTGGAAATCCGGAATCACTGGACGGCCGTTTCGTCCTATTGTGGGACTTCTCAGCAGTGTACATCCACGATCCCGCCTCGCGGGATTCGAACCCAGGGTCTTCAGTCTCGCGTACGAACGCCTAACCTACTAAACCACTGAGCCGGCATCCAATGGTGTTAGTGTCTAACATCAACCAATTCATGAAATTGCGCGACCAACTTCCATGGCACTGAGGCAGATACCTGTCTCTACCCGACACGGATTAGCTTTTACTTAACTGTTACAAAAAATAATTAGAATAATAGTGAATAATTAGTGAAACCTGTATTAGTTCTGTGTATTACTTTGTAACAATAATTCCTTTCTTTTTAAAAAAAATTTATAATCATCAATTTAAACCGACATAAACAATAAAACATTGAACTGTTACATGTTTCATGTAGAAAATTAGATAATAATTGCAACAGATTGATGCATAGTTACAAAAATTATGTTACTAATATTCGATCAAGAATAAAACACCATTAATTTTATTGATTCAATGATGATGAATATTCTGATAGTGACTTTATTTTTGCAATATTTTATTCATGCTAAAATAAATAGTTTGTCTAATTATTGTATTACATGCAAAATAAAGTAGAATAATATTTTATTTTATTACAAATAAACCTTTAAAAAAACTGGACAATTCATTATGAAAAAAGGAAAGAAAGAAAGAGAACCAAATTAAATAGATGGTTTCAAGGCTTCGAATATCTATCAATTGCTAAGTCGAGTATATTAAGCTTTTTGTTTGTAATTTACACAGTTTGAGATCATGAGTCAATTGAAGCTAGACCACCATGGAAAATCTGGAAGCACTAGACGGCCGTTTCATCCTATTATGGGACTCCTCAGCAGTGCGCATCCATGACCTCGCTTCGCGGGCTTCGAACCCACGACCTATCAGTCTCGCGCCAGGCGCTTAACCAACTAAACCACTGAGCTGGTATCCATTTCATATAGACTATAAGTTACTTTATATTTGCTAACAAATTACCGACTGATCAATTGTTTCATTGACCTCATTGGTTTCATTTCACTTAATAATAATAATAACAATTGTAACATAACGACAGATTTACTTCAAATTCTTTCGTTCAGATTTTATAAATACATTCTTCCTCTTTAATGGCAACAATAGTTATTTTAAATGTATATTCACATTATTAACTATAATGGTGTACTTAAAATTTCAATGAACTGCAAGTTTAAGAAAATTAGTTCATTTTAAAATCTTTCTGTCAGTTTGCTGTAAAATGCTATTTGACATAAAGGTTCGAGTAAGTAGTATATATATAATCTCGAGTTTTGTGGTTTTTCATTGTGTTTCCTAATAAGTAAATAAATTAAGGTACAGTATAAATTTAAGTGGTTTATTTAGTCTACCAGTCTTATTCTCAAGTGCATAGAATTTTCTAAGCAATTCTGTGCCAAGCTGCAATCATCATTACTTTGATAAAGATCATACTGTTATGCAGTTTTGAAGGATACCTAATTCATTAAGAGACTTGAATCATCGTTTTAATCGGAATTCACTCAGTCAGTTAGCTACAACGTAGGATCAGACACATATACATCGGTTCAAGGTGCAACACCTAATAAGCACAACAAAATGAATACCAAATTCATTCAAGTAGTCACTTCAGTGGTGGTAATATATAAAAGGAAGATTGCATATAAGTATATAATACAGGAAGAAAGGAATAAGATCATTTTAATTTCACAGTTTGAGGGAAGACAGAGAGAGTATATACCGAAGCCATTGTGACCAATTCTGAGCCACGTCACACATAGTCTCCAACCATTGGTTGCGATAGTCACGTGGACCCCAACCAAGTAATCTGCATCTACCAACACGGCTCACACCAGACGTTAGTGACTTTGGTCACCCTTAACTTTTTTCCACCCGTCTTAAACACTAGTCAGCATTGTGTGTCGTGGTAATCGGTGTTCAGACATACGTAGAACATGGCCCAGTCATCTCAGTCGATGAAGATTCACAACTTTATCAACTGATTTACCATCATTTCCTAATACTCTGCGTCTAACCTCACTTTACTCACCCGGTGATCCCAGCAGATTCGAGACGTATTCTTAAGACATCTGTGATCAAATACTAGCAACTTACGAGTATCCTCTACTCTTAATGGTCACGCTTCGCAGCCCTAAAGTAGAACAGAACGAACAACCGCGCAGTACACTCATCCCTTAATTGATTGATGGATTCCTAACCTTCGCCATAGGTCACGTAAGTTGGCAAAAGCCAAATGGGTTTCCTGAATCCGTGCAGAGGTTTCTTCAGACACCAAGATAAGTGAAGCTGTCAACGCCTTCAACTACTTCACTCCCCATCCTTAGTTCAGGAGTTAACGTAAGCCAGTCCTGAAGTAAAGACTCGGATTTACAGTGGAGGAGAAACGCATCCCAAACATCCTAGCATTGTTGCTCCATGTTTATGTATATATATTTATATCATACTGTAGTATAACAAAAATGGTTAGGGATTGTTGAATAGATTTTTCTGATTTGTAATAATTCACTAACTGATATTAGTTTCACATTGACAGTTACGTTAAAATAAAAAGATATTTAAATATCATTCTATAATGTGGAAATAAAATTGCCAAAAATCACAACCAATCGCTCTTAACAAGTATGAATTTTTTCATATTGGTCATTAGTACCTTTCTTTCTACAACCACTCTCCATCTATAATCCCATAAGTCACATAATTAACTATCATTGAAAACTTTCAATACTAATCTATTTCTTTAAAATAATAATAATAATAATTCTATGCTTAATATTAATGAATTTCTTTGGTAATTTACATCAAATTTACAAGGGTAACATTAATGTGTACACAATATAAGTAACAGAAAATAGGAGATGAAGAAATACAAAAGAGAAAAAAGAAAAAGGAAAACACTTTATTAATGTACGAATTAATAATGTAAAATGTACTGTACAAAATCTGTTCTTGCTAGTTAAATAACTTTAGGCATTTGTGCGTATGAATTCTACAGAAGTTTATTCATAAATTAATAAAGTATAATCTGATTTGTAACAAAATCGTTTTATTCATTATTATTCTCTTAATTCACTAACTATTCGGTTATTCATACTACATACGGTAGTAGTAGTAGTAGTAGTAGTAGTAGTAGTAGTATTAGTGATAGAACTGAAACTATGTGAAATTGTTGATAACGGTATTGTAGATAAATTTGTACGTTCATCCGTGTTTAGTACAAAAGTTGGTGCATGTGAATGATGAAGAAGATTAGCTTGATATTGTACTAAATCTGTTGTTTTACTAATATGATTCCATGTATTGTTGGGAGAATTTGAATACAACGAATGATTGTACTGATTATTATATATGTTAGATAAATGCCTTGAATGTATTTCATTGTTATTCATAGGGTAAGGATGTGATTTAATAGGTGAACATTGATAATTACCAGATAAATTCATGCCTACATCATTTTTTCGATGATAAGCATATTCATGATTGTTATCATAATGAGATTGTTGGTAAAATTCTTTTGTTAGGATTGGCTTCACTGTTGCAGCAGTCATATTAGTTGAGGAGACAGTTGTAGTTGTTGTTGATGTTATAAATCCCCCTGTACATTCACGATTGTAATAATTACAATCATCTTCAATTTCATCGTTTCCTACAATATTTGATAAATTAATTTTCAAATGTGGACTGAAACCAATATCTGATTCTTCTGGTGTTGAACGAAATGGTGGTGATGATGTAGATTGACTTTCATTTGGACCAAGACCGGTAGATAACTGAGAATTACCAATATTACTATTATTAGTATTTACGGTAGAATATGTAGTATTTGAAAAATTAGAGAAAGTGTGGTAATTAGTATTCAAATAATTTGATTCACATGGTATAATTCCATTCCCATTAGATACAGTAGTGGTCGTTGTGGAAGTCGATAAATATGATGAAGTAGTATATGGTGAACACTTGTTCCAATATTCATTATACATATAATTTGGATAAAATGTATTCGTTTGTAAAAAGTAATTAGGTAATTGTTCCGAGTATCTATCTTCTAATTTATATGGAGATTTATGGGATGTTTGTTCCTCATTCATTTTACAATCTACTGAGTGATATGATGTGTAATTATTTCTACTATTTTGAAATGTTGATGAAGTATAATAAGCATCATTTTGATGACATGCATTAGTTTGTAAAAGATTTACGGAATTATTTGTTAATGAAAGTGTAGTTGATTGTTTATCTAATAATTCCAACTGTTCATTTACACGTGAATTGTTTTTAGAATGTTTTGACTTCATTGAATTTGAACTGTTAGCATGATTTAAGTTGTATTGTTGATGAGAATGTAAATATGATTGACATTGTAACTGATGATGTTGGCCAACAATGTTGGTAGTGGTAGTAGCAGTGGAATTAGATGAATTCACTTTGGAATACATTGCATTGGCTACAGAAGCAATATTAGCTAAATAAGTTTTTGTTTCTAAATCTCTTTGTTTTTCACACTGATGAAGATGATTCAATAGATGTCGACTTAATTCTTGACCAGATATATTGATACCATCATATGTGGATAATAAACGAGTTACTTCTAAGAGACAATCTTTAAATCCTATACGACGTAATTCAATTGAACGAGCTTCTGAACCAAGTACATAGCCTTTAAAATGATAAAAAAAAGAATTCTCTATGTAAACTAATACAAAATATTTGCTACTGATTATGTTATACGATTGGAGATATGCTTCATGAAACCTCGCACTTATGTTCCTTGCTGTTTAAAGCTCGTCAACAAGCCATACCTGTAATTTTGAGTAGACTGATTCACCCTGTTCGATGCAAACGCCAGTAAACCAGCTTGAAATTCTAGAGTTACTAATGGACAACTTCAATGGCTAATGATTTCATGTGGGGTTGAGAGGTTTACTTCGATCAATCAGTAAGTAGTAACCAATGTAATATTTGTTAGGTCCTTAGTGCCGATGGAATTTTATGGACCAAGTTACAATATGACCACTATATTTCAATGTAAAGTAGTTGGAATCTGGTGAGATGCACTTAAAAAACAAGTTTCCTTTTATCTTGTACGGTTCTTGGCTCTTAAGCCGTTCAAAATTGCCGAAAAGGAATCATATGTATAAAATAATATTATTTGTATAAATGAAGTATAATCACTTTTAAAATTTTAACCAAAAAGGAACGCATATTTATGTGCTTAAGAAGGGTCATAGTAGGTACATTTTAACATAGCATGTCCACGATATTTTCGCCGGTTGCTATGGTAGTGTTATTCAGTGAGTGAAATATTTTCATATTTTAGCATGTAAATAAAAGAAACAGAATTCCATTATACACTCACCTTCTTTATGAAGTCTCTGTAAAAATTCAACGGTAAGTTGAAGTATTTCAGCCTTTTCCAGTTTGGCTGAACCCTATTAAATAAAAAAAAGGAGTCAATGAAAATATTTAATCAGTGATGGCGTTATAAATTAAAATAATATATCTCATCACTAGATCATTTACACCAGGAAACTATATCAACTGGATAATAATAGAAAAAATGGATACAATGAGTTGAGAATCGTTTTGTTTGATGATAGGAAAACTGAAAAAAAGGATGAATAGCAACTGGAAAGAACTGGAAAGGATTGCCCAGGACAGGGTTGGATAGAGTGTGCTGGTGGGAGGCCTATGCTCCTCCACGAGGGGTAAGTAAACTGAAACATTCATCAATAAGAGCCTCATTTAAAATCATTACAATCTGAATTCATAAAATTTATTTAGTATGGAAAACATTTTATTGTTATACAAAGAATTCAACAACTCATTGATCCATAGTTTTTGGAATTCTAATTAATTTTAAGTGTTACATTAAAACCCCATACTACAAAAGAAGTATATAATTTGATTGTTTTTGGTTTGAGAATATATCAAACGTTTGACTACAACAAAAACATATTTTCTGAAAGTAAATTTTATCATGAACTCAAAAAAACTCTGGAGAAAGATTGAAAACTACTGTAGAGGTGAGGGGATTGATCAATACATTTGATCTTCGTTTGTGAACTATAGGCATACTATGATTCCTCATTCTAACATAATACATTTAAGCTGATAAGTCTGTAACTAGTTCCAGTAAATTTATAATATTTTACGATAATTATTGAACCGTAATGGTGGTAAATTTATTTATCATTCCTAACAATATGTGTTACTATTATTTTACTAGTTTGTAGAAGAGGCTATCCAGAAGATAAAAAGTCACATATGCTAATGCTATGGTAATGTATATTTGGTTTTGTATAAATCCGAATTAATTGACCATATATATATGGTCGGCCATTCCTGTTACCTTCCGTGGAGAAGCGTAGGCCGCCCACCAGCATATATATATACTGCTTTGAGCTGAAAATTTTATGGTTGCCAGTTATATTATATGGTGACACAAGGAGATCTCCGGTCAGTAATCAAATAGTTGGAAATCAACTCTCAGAAGGTTGAAGGTATTCGGAAGGAAACCATGAACCTAAATTACATACCACTTAGCATTCACCTGTAACATGTAGCCATAATCTCAAAAAACACTAGAGGACCCCATTGGACCGACTACCTCCAACCATAGAAAAACTGCGCATTAGATATGTGATGTCAAGCCCCTTGGACTAGTGGTCATGTTACAACCTGATAGATAAAATTTGATCATTTTTCAAAACCTCATAAATGTGGCATTGGTTATTGTTCAGTAATGAATCAGTGTGTTAAACGACTGAATCATTTATTAGGCCTAGACATTGGACAATGTTGGGAAAACTTTAAGATTGAACTAAATATATTATAAAGGTGTCGATCAGGCAATTTACATGAGTTGAAATTAATAAAATACATACCGAATCAAGCTTTACATTTAATTCAGAACAATCACAAACATAAAAATCAATAAAACTTATACAACAAAGGATCATAGATCATTTTGTTCATTAAAAATATGTTTACATGTGATGCAGATGGTTCTTTCCTATTTTACTCTTCATTTACAAATATGTTCAGAAATCGAATCAGTAAAAGACAACAGTAACTCATATACACAAACACATACGTTCCATCGGTATACATAAACATAATTGGCTAAGTTCGAGCAAACATGATTCTCATCTGGTTTCTTGAGTAATTTATTTTATGAATATATCTGTATTTAAGCATAATTTTCTTTCTTTAGGTCGAATTTATATATTTTATGTCATATTTTTTGTCACTTCACTGTTCTATATCCCCTTGGAATACGGGAAAAGGAAAAAGAATCATTTGTGTGTGTGTGTGTGTTTGTGTAAACGTTTGTACATCATCTTTCTTTTTGTTACTCAAGGTGTGAGTAAAATAAGTTATATTCTGCTCAAATATTCCTTTTAGTTGATCCGATAATAAAAAATTCCTTTTTAATCAAGAATATTTGGCATTCATATGTATATAATTAGACCAGCTGCTCCACTATGGTGATACGTTTTTATTCTTCTCCAAGATAAGCAGGTGTACTTTATTACTTATAATAATATTTAATACATTATAATACATATCATTCACATTAATCTTATTTAGTTAACTATGAAGATCTTTTTATAAACGTCTCTATACATGAGTATACAGTTATTTTGAGTTGAATAAAGAAGAATAATCTATTATTATAATTGACAATATACATTAGACAAATTATCAAGATATTAAATTTTTCTCTTCAATGAAAGGTAACATTTTAGAAATATGAAATGATCAAGTTTATTTTTAGATAGGTGTAGTAGAAGTCACATTGTAAATTATGCATAAATCCCTTTAATAATTCATTACTCTAGATCTTGAATTTTAGTGTTTATTTATAAAAATTCCTTCATATTCTATCTTTTCGAACTATATTCTGAATGTTTAGTCTTTCTTATTACAATTTTGACTATATTAGTTTAACTCGTTTACTAATTATCTTGTTGATTTCTACTTATCGTGTACATGTGAAATGGCAACTTGAACAAATATACATATGTACCAAACACTATATTAATTGTATCTGACTATGATACTCAACTAATACTAATTAGAGTACTTATTACCCTCTAGCTCATTTATTTATTATAGTTTCCAAGTAGTTAACGACTCCTTAAAATCAATGTTGAGTGGCTTGATGATATTCTGAGTTTAATTCCTATTAATCTAATGCCATGTTACAGCCGAGAGTGGGGAGAGTCAGCTCTCCTTCTCGAAATCCTCTCAAGTGGCCACGTGCACACAACAACTGCCAGGGAAGTCCTACTCACTGCCTTCTCGTGGAGGGGGTGTTCGTTACGAAATTGAGAGGATAAGAACCGAATGTCCAGCGCTTTAACCGGATTGGTGGATACGGAGGATCCAGGATCCCGAAGGAACAAAGGGCGTATGAACCAATCGTTGGTCATTGGATACTATGGGACTGAATCTCCTAACGTTGATCCACTGCCTTGTGGATTAGACCTTTAGGTCGAAGGCTCCAGATGTGGTTTCCTAAGAAAACCACTTTCTTCGGTTTGGGCACCCGGGCATAAAGAGAGTGATTTATGTGGCACATATTTGTTTGGTGCCACCTTGTACCAAAATTTATGTGTTTAAATAAATAAAACATGAAAACTGACATATCCCTTTGGTATATTAACGTTACTTTCTCTCTCCTTAGCTAGGCAGGACTGTATATTGATTACAGATTTAACTGACAACTTAACCAAATCAGAAACTTCTTTCTCGTCACTTCATTTGACTTTTGTTAATGTATTAAAATGTATTAAGTTTTCTGATGGTCTCTCTTTTTAAAAAGTATTGTCAAGGTTATTGAGATCTTACTATTAATATTTGTAAAGTTTATTTTACGATTATTTAAACTTTTGTCCATTATAAATTAACCGAGATTGTATTCAATTAACAATCCATCTTCACAGTTGATTCGAAAAGAATGAATATTAGATAAAACCAGGCAGTGATTAAAAAATTTCACATCCATCATTAAGAATCATGAACGCACACAAGCATATATCTACTGCATATAAATGTAAGATGATAAAGTCCTTTCAATAATTTTAGGAGTACGAATGCATTTGATCTGTATATAGATAATGATCAGTAAAGTGTTCATTCTATGTTGCACCTATCATAGACGCTGTAAATGCATAATAATGGATCAGTTTCCTCTTCTTTGATAATGATGTTACTAAGGTATCTGATTAGCTTATCATCAATTAGCAATCACGGCAACATGATATGATCATAGATTGCTTTGCAATCTAGGAAACATTCTTCTCTCTCAATGTTTTATTTTCATAAAACTCCATTTTTTGACTATGTGTTCACATGTACAGGTGAAAAGAGAAATTATCTTATCTAAAATTTGTTTACATTGATGATTATGGGATACACCTAGCGATATTCAAACACATACATAGTCTTCATAGGTAAACTTATCATTGACAAGATCATTTCGAAGATCTTGTTTCTAAGGTCACTCATAATCAGTAGTGGCAATGCAAACATAGTAAAATAGAAAAACTATTGACATAAACTTGTACACATACAAAAGAATAAAATCAACATATGCACCACGTACCAAAATATATGAATTAAAAACATCGATTTAAGAAATATAATTCTTTGTTTTAACGAAATCAAGCTAGTTGATTTTGCGGAAGAGTCAATGGATTTATGAATGCAATTTAATGTAAAGCTTATATTATTCTAGAAGTTTATGTAGTGTAACAAAATTATTTCTAGTCGAGTAAGACCAATGAATGTGGATTAGAAATATGAATTTATTTATTTATTCTTCAGATCTTTTTTTCATCTGTTTACTATCTACGTCATTTATTGTTCGTTTTAGGTGGTTAAGTGAAATGATACCAGTGAAATTTCGTGTATTTGTATTGATTATTTGCAACTGTCAAATGTGCATCACGTTTCATTACATTTACAAGAATTTACACTTATGAAGAAACAACCTTATAAAATACAGATATAAACTTTTTCTTACTACACTACGTAACTGCTGATAATATTGACCAGAGCAACAATGAAAACTCCACATACTAGGCCAAATCAGCTATTTATTGCTTCTAGATTTTCGCTCGTGTTCTAGCTTAGATCAACTATGAAAATACTATAACCTCCACAAATCCCCGTACTGACAATTTAAACTTCTAGCTTACAGAACTTAGAGAACACCAAAAGCATCGACTAGAACTGTAAAGTTTTATCATCAGTTATATTTACTGTCTTTAATTTATCCACAACTATGTTACCTATGTAATTCACTATCCTTCTGAGAATATAAAAAAACATTACTTAAAACTTTTAATATTAATTTTAGATTGTAACCATACTAATAAAGTTCACCAGATAAATGAATTTATATCATTTCTTTGTAAATATATCACGTACCCTCTTTATAGCAGTTTCTTTTAAAATAATACTGTATCATTTGTCAGAAATAAACACAAGAATACGGTTCACAAACCTCACTGAAAGTATTCTGCCTAGTGCCTAGTATCTCAAGAATTAAGGTCATAGGTATTTAGGTCATACTACTACATCATGAATTTAGATTCATTCATGGTACATTTTTAGAAAGACAAAGATCACATTTCATCCAGTTTAGATTAACTTAGGAATAATAAGATCTAATGTCTCTCAATAGATGTATATGAATATAAACTTTAACAATATGATAAATGTCCCTTCATATATTTTGTATTGTTCAATAGAATTTGATCATATTTTCTTTTATTCAAATGTTGTAGATTTTGTAATTTAAAGAAATATCGTAACTCAAACAAATTCAACAATTTCTACTCAATTATTTCTTCATTACAGCTAATATTTTAAAAAAATTAATTAATATATTTTCAGAAGGGGTTTGTGGAAATTTTAGAAATTTCACAGACTGAAATCATGAGTCAAATGAAGCTAGACCACCATGGAAAACCTGGAAGCACTGGATGGTCATTTCGTCCTAGTATTGGATTCCTCAGCAGTGTGCATCCACGATCTCGCGCCAGGCGCTTAACCGACTAGACCACTGAGCCGGCATCCGATGGTGCTAATGTCCAACTTCAACCAATCCACAAAGTTGTGCCACCGTACACCAATCAATATATTTGTAATATACTAATGGCGTTTCGCGACTTAGGGTAACCTACTTCTTCAGAGAATAAATGTTCAAAGGATTAGTATAAGGATAACAGTTAAGAAGTAATCATTTACAAATTTTATGCCAAGCATATATATATATATATATATAATATATCTTTTGAAACACAATTGTATGAACGAAGAATATTCTTTTCAATAATTTCTCATCAGGTTCTACAATTATCTCATATCCAAATAAATAATCCATAAAATTGGCCAGATTTAAGACAGATTACATCATTTGGAAATTGTAGTATGTAAATCAAGAATTGTTGTTTGTCATATAAAATCAAATCAGATCGTTAATTTTGGGGTTGACTAATATGAAGTTGCTAACTTGAATCAGTTTATAAGTGAAATGAAATAGTGAGATAAATGGTCAGAATAAATATGATCAACATGAGGTGAGAGAGAATAATGGAATAAAAATCAGAAATTACGTAATATGTAGAATAATATGAATTAGGTCAGATATAGTAGATGGGGGTGGATACTGAATAAATTTCTCAGAAAGGTTATCAAGTGTAATAATAATAATAACGGTAAAGATATTACAAACAACAATTCTTGATTAACATATTACAATTTTAAATAGTGTACTCTGCCTTAAATCTGGTCAATTTTATGGACTATTAATCTGAATATGAGATAATTGTAGAACCCGATTAGAAATTATTGAAAAGAATGTTCTTCGTCCATATAATTGTGTTTTAATATAATGGGAATTTTTTTAACGATATATCTTTTCAATTCTGAATGAATTACTTACAGGTTTATGATTTGAATCTGGTACTAAACGTTTAAGATCTGCTAAACTACAATTGATTCGATCACGTCTACGTTTTTCAATCACCTGGGGAAAAAAACACAGAAGAAAAAAAAGTTATTCAAAAAACAATCAGCTCTAAATCTTGGTATGAATATTCTTTTTTTTCTTTTTACTGAGTTTAAATTGGTTACAAAGTACATGTTTACGTAATCAAGATTACTCAGATTAAAGTAATCAGAGGTAAGTTTGAACCTAAGACCAACTGTGTAAAAACTGAGTCTTTTAATCATTTATCTACCGCCATAATGATAACATTAAACTTAATTATCGAATAATAATATAGGTAAGTTATGTATATATTTAGGCATAAGGTTGTTTACTGTCATGACTTAGTTTATATTTGTTAATCATTTGATAACTTATTGATTTAAGCTAAATCAAAAATTTTACGACGTGAGTACATTGTTGTGTCAAGTAACTGATGAATATGAATCTCACATTTTACAAACACCATTGATTCAAAATGTTAGAGATTTTCATTTATAGTAATAATTTGGTGTACCATTTAAATATTGGGTACTTTCTTAAAAAATAGTTTAATTTTTTTTAGAGTAATTTAATATCTGAATACATGGCTGATTGTACTAAGTATCTATTTTGATTAAACTTGGTTTGAAATGAATTCAGTTGTACAAATCAAAAGTCGAAAATTCTAGTGAATTAATTACAATTGATTGATCATTGGGCAGTGACCAATGTCATGGATGTCAAGTCCTTCTTAGTGCAAATCGAATGCTATCGACCAAGTTGAAATGTGGCCACTAGTCTAGGTGACTCGACATTGCGTGCACTATGTTGAGATAAGATGGTGGTTGGAGGTAGTCGACAGGAAACCCTGGACCCGAGTTTCGTGCTACTTGGTACTCGTCAGCAAGGTGTGCCTGTAATCTTGAGGGAACTGGTGCTCCCTAAAGGATTCGATCCTATGTTATCCAGCTTCACATTCAGAGACGTTACCGCTGGGTTATCTGGACAGCGACCGACTTCCTGTAGGAGTGAGATGCAATAACGATTGATTGGTCACTGGGTGATGATCAATGTCATGTGTGTCAATTCCTTCTAGTGAATTAATAAATAATTCAACGTTTAACATATTGCCTCAATTACTTTCCTCCTATATTCATTATGTAATCAGATATATTAGAAATTAATATTAATTCTATTCAGTTTTAACTGATTTGTTTATAAAACTTAGTAGAAATAAATGTAATAGAAACAGTTCACAAGCACAGTATGAATCACATTGTAGAAATGTTAGACTTCTTTTGATTAGTGGTAAATTGAATCCAGTTAGATAATTAAATCTTAATTGACTGAAATGGTTGGGCCACATGTTACGCATGCCTGAACACCGATTACCACGACATACAGTGCTGATTGGTGTTGAAGACGGTTGGGAAAAAGTTAGGAGTGACCAAACCAAAACGTATCACCAGTCCTTGAAGTCACTGACTTCTAGTCTGATCCGTGTTGGTAGATACACACTGTTTGATTGGGGACCGCGTGACTATA